TCTTTCCATCATGGGGATGGTGTAACAGGCTGGAAACCCCCTTTCCTCAACCACTTCATCCACCTATAACTTTTTTTCCCTGTCTGACCAACAGACACCTTCCTCTATATGCTTTAACTCTTTGCTGGCCCTTTAAACTCCATGGGAAATGGCACCTTCAGCCTCTGAGCAGATCCCTTTCAGCTGAGCATCGTTTCCTCCCCTTTCCCTCCACCTGCTGCCCTCCCAGCTTCCACTGGCCCACTTTCTGTAAGGGCTTCACTCATCCTGCTTGGGAAATGTGTTCATGCTGCCCTTTGTGGTGCTAGTGCTTGTAGAAAGAAAAACTGAGCTGCAAAGAGATCCTTGATGCTGCTGCTGCTGCTCCTCTTTTTCCATCAAGAAAGGTATGTTTTTTCTTGCTGTGTTATTTTTAGGTGTAGGTCTGTAAGGAATTGCTCCTTTGAGGAGTGAATTTCTCTCTGTGCTTGGGGTTAATGTGGTAGTGAGCTCCTGAAGCTTAAGCTTGGGTGAAGCCAATGAAGCCCCTTTGTTGCTCTGGGCTTCCCCTATGGTACAGGACCATTTTGCATGTGTGCCTAAGCCCTCTGCAACATGCCTTGCTCCCTGAGCAGGGTTGGAGGTGAGCAGTGATGTGTGTACAGCGTGGCTGTGTGCCAGCACCACCGCCAGCTTCTTGTTTTCCTTCCTTCCTCCTACCTGCTACTGCTGATACGGAGATAAAGGGTGTAAAACAGCTCCTGGCTACAGCTTGGTGGCTTTTATGGCTGAGCTGGAGAGCAGCCCATCATCCTGAGCAGCCCATCATTGCTCCTGTGCTGCTCCAGCCTTGGGGCCTCCCTGGGGCACTGCCTCACGTGTGGGGCTCTTGGCAGGGCATAGCTGACCCTGCAGCCTTCCTTGGGATTAGTTTGGGTTGCACAAGGAGTTATGCACGTGTGGTTGCAACCCACAGAAACACTGGGTTGGGAATGCTATGAGTGATGGTTAGTGTCCATTTTTTACAGGATCCAAGGGCAGGTTGGACACAGGGGCTTGGAGCAACCTGCTCTAGTGGAAGGTGTCCCTGCCCGTGGAACTAAATGAGTTTTAAGATCCCTTCCAACACAAACCATTCTATAGCTGGAGGTTCAGGCAGTGCTCCTGAGCAATGCTGACTGTTTCTGCACCATCAACTTGGTGTTTCAGAGGGAGAAGGGGATGCTGGAGGGATCTGTGGTATTTATTTCCCTTGAGGCTCTTCTGTTGCTCATCTACGCAGCCATCGAGGTGCTAAGGCTGAGTGTGCAGCCCCCAGCAGTGTGATAAGTGGTTGTGGCTTGTGTCTGTGGGTGCTTGGTGTATTATTGGGTAGGTTAAAAAGAGTGGAACCAGGCTGCTGTGTCCTGCTGACCCCTCTTTTGGGGGAGAAAGGCCCACTGTCCCCCTCCCCTTGGCTGCTGGGGGTGGGGGGAGATAGAGCTCACAAGGGCTCTGCTTTGGTTTGTGAGTTTCTGGCCCAAAATCTGCTGCCTTCAGACACTTATTAGAACAGCAGACCCCCCTAACAGGGTTATTGTGTACCTGGCATCCCAGTTCAGAGCCCTTCCAGCACAGCCTGGCCATGCCGGGCAATGCCACAGCCTTGTCACCCCAAAACCTCTGACATAATAATAACTGAACACGCATGGTTGCCATGGGAATGGGAATTGGCTGCTCCTCCTGATTCTTGTGGCAAATTCCAGGAGGCTGCTTTGGTTGTTAATAGCAGACACGAGGTGTCCCAGGTTGTGAAAGCTGCTTTGACTCAGCGCGCTTTGAACTGCCCTGCAGGATGTTCAGCTCCAAACATCCTGCGTGAGGGCCACCTCCCCGGGGGTGGCTTCTCCTTTATCTGCCTCCTGTGAGTAATAACAGCTCCTCGCTGCCACATCTGGAGAGGAAGGAGGACGGGCAGGAGCCGCAGGTAAACTCTCCTACACACAGAGGGGAACAGCGTTGGTGAAAGGCAGTGCCATGGGATGGATGTGGCTGCTTGAGCTTGGGAAGAAGAGGTGTGGGGAGAGTCCATCTCTGCAAGGCAAAGGTTTAGTGTGATGTTGGCTGGTGGAAGTGGTGCTGATGGAGGAGGTCTGCCAGCAACCTGTGTCTTTAGCCCCTTTTGCCAGGGGGCATGATCATGTTTTGGAGCAGAGGATTGGCAGGAGAGGGAGCTTGTGCCTTGTGTTGGGTGAGTGGTGTTGGCACAAGAGAGATGTGCCTGGGTAGCAAGGTGGAGGAGGATCCACAAAGAGAAGACCCTCCAAACATCTCTGGCCGGGCAATGAACTTGCCCTCTGCTTATAGGCTGGCTGTCCTAGGGCCCTATGGTTGCACCATCGGGATACTCATGGGACAGCATCATGCCAGAAGCACTGATCCCCCTGCATCAGCTGGAGCAAAGCTCCATATGAGGCCCTAGAT